CCTGGAGAAGCCCTGGTGAATATTCATTCCTTTGTAATAGCCGTCTGATCATTTCATTTTCTAAGGGAGAGTAGCATGTGATACAGAAGTTAATAATTTTCACAGAAAATATTTCCTCAAGCAATGGCTTTCTTTCTAGTTAAAGTCTTGAGGCAGCATTTATTAATTCAGAATATGCAGACACTACAGTGATGGACCATTCTCTCTCTCTCTTTAAAATGCTCAGAATTGGCTTCAGTACATATAATTAATTTTTTTTTTTTAAATCTGTTTTGTTTTGCTTTTTGAAAACACTCCTACAGCTGGGTGCACAGCTGTCGTATACTTCCCCCAAGCAGGAATTAGTTCATTTCCTTCCTCCATTGTTAGATTGTGGCATTTGTCTTCCCATTATTCTTCACTGAATATAATAAAACACCTTCTACAAGCAATGGGAGGAGCCCCAGTGGCACTGTAGTTAGACGCTCAGTTGCTAACTGGAAAGGTCGACAACTCGAGCCCACCAGCCACTCTGCAGGAGAAAGACATGGCAGCCTGCTTCCATAAAAAGCATAGCCTTGGAAACCCTATGGGGCAGTTCTACTCTGTCCTTACAAGGTTGCTATGAGTCATAATCAACTCAACGGCTAGGGGTTTGTTTTTTGGTTTAAAGCAACGGGCTTATGTCTTCCTTTATCCTGAAGTCAGCCAAAATGGAATTTGCTTAGCAAGCAAAGGTTTTTTTTTTTTTTTTTGTACTAAAATACTAGGCCAACCCTGAAATCGAAAAAATAGAGGAAAAAGGAGTGAGTTGGGGGCTAGTGTCAGTTGGATTCCATTTGATACAGCAAAAATGTTTTGAGTCCCCACTTCATCCAATCCTTTTGCTAACCTCTATGGAGGAGATAAAGACGATTAAGACAGAGTACCTGCCTAGAGGGGTTTATAAGATGTGCAGAAGAAAGCACTGTGTGCTCACCCAGAAAGTCTCCAGGAGGAGGTGGTGTTTCTGCTGGGCTTTGAAAGGTAGCCAGGACTTCATGGATCAGGGTAAGAGGGAAGGTGATTGAAGCAGTCGAAGGGGCAAAAGGTGCAAAAGGAAGAAGGAGGGTGGTGTGGAGATGCTAAAGGATGACAAGTCATCTGGGGGAACAGTCCCTTTCTGAGCCCATTTTGCCACTGTAAAATGAAAAGATCACCCCCGACTGTCTTAGGCTCAGTTTGGGTCTGAGCCTAAGACAAGGACTAGTGGCAGGCACTTTATTTAGGATCCACAGATAGAAGAACTGAGAGGATGGAGAAAATAAGATAGGAATGGGAAGAAAAGCTTGTGAAAAGTGTGTTAATGAGCTGGTTACTATTGTGGGCACCCCAGTTAGAACCTCTGCTTTTGACTCACACCATGTGTGTCAGAGTAGAACCGTTGTGCATGGGGTTTTCAATGGCTTTCAAAATTGGATCACCAGGCTTTTCTTCCAAGGCACTTTGGGATGGACTCGAACCATTAACCTTTTGGTTAGCAGCCAAGTGCATTAACCATTACTTGGGGGACACCCCTATTATATTGGTAACCTCCAAGAAACCATGCAGGTGACCCCTCAGCATTGTCCACTTGCAGGATAGAGAAGCTGGAGCATTTAACCAGCAACTCCCATCTCCCACTGGTTGAGAGTTGCCCCTGAGGGCGTGAACTCCTCATACTCTGAGTTGTCCCTGGGCTGCTGAATGGCCTTGAGAGAAAGCCCTGAGGCAGCAAAGCAGAGACACTTGGGCCAGAGCTTGATGGAGGGACACTAGTGCTGTCCCGAAAGGCTTGTGGAGTCTGCTGTACAGTTTTGCTTGGAGAATTCTGTAAGCACAGTCCCTGGTCCTGAGTTGGTGTTCAGTAATGTTGGCTCTGCTTTTCTGCCAGTCAGCATGTTGTTTAACCAGCCCCCACCTTCCGCTGTCTGTTTCAATTTTGGAACTGTCAGATCCACAGTAGCTTCAATGTCACAGTGTCACACATCTTCCTTTCCATGTGTGTGTTATGTGTGTGTAATGATTAAGCTGAATCTTTTGTTTTTCTAAGTTGTAAATGTATTTATATGAAAAGCTTTACAAAGATATTAATATTCAACCACATTTTAGTTACTCATCTAATTGTCTTTATGGAATATAGTCTCAAAGGGCAGAACTTCTGAACAATCTCAGTTTACGGTCCCTGTTGAGGGTCTGCCTATCCTGAAAAAGCCATCAGCACTAGAACGGTACAGTATCTGAAGATTGATCTGCAAGTGGTTTCTTCCTCACCTGCACAGGTGATTCCTTCTCACCTTTGATGGTTCCAGGGCTTTGCCTGTTGGCCGGGGCCTCATCATTACAGAGCCCAGGAGACTGGCAGGGGCTCATTTCTAGGAGGCAGAGATACTGAGGGTCACAAGAAAATGCCATCAATCTTCCTAGAATAATCCTTCCTAGGATTTAGCATTCTCTTAAGCCAATCGCACCTTTTACTAAGCAATTCTATGAGCTAATAAGTTTCCCCTTTTAATTTAAAGGAGTTTGAGTTGGATTTCTGTCACTTGCAACTGAGAGTCCCAACAAATGTCACTTATCCTTTCCATGCTTCAATGCATACTCAAAAAGGGAATTATATTTATCTACCTTATAAAGTTGTTAGGAAGATCAACCATGGTAATCTGGTGAAAATGCTTTATAATCTCTAAACACTACAATATGAAAATTCATGACTTCTGGTTTGCTATTTTGGGCTCATGGCCAAAATGTATTGTTTGATGGCAATAGTGAAGTCCATGCACTTCTAGAACATTATTTCTCAAAGGAGAACCTAAAAACTACTGGTATTAGACCATCTGGGTAGTTTCTTAAACATTCAGATTCCTTGGGACCCTCCTCAGACATAGTGACTCATAGTCTAGGGGTATGGAGGTAGGGAACTTGCATTTTTATCAAGCCCTCATTCTGATGCAAAACTAAGTTTAAATCCTGTTCTAGACACTTAGCATTAAAAAAATTTAGCTGATGAACGAAGGGTAAGTAGGAAACTAAGGAGCTCTGGTGGTACAGTGGCTAAGGCATTCAGCTGCTGACCAAAAGGTCAATGGTTCGAACCCACCAGCCACTCTGTGGGACAATGATGACATAGTCTGTTTTTGTAAAGATTTACAGCCTAGGAAAACCTATACGGCATTTCTACTCTGTCTTACAGGGTTGCTAAGAGTTGGAATTGACATGATGGCTATGTTTTTTCTTTCTTTTAAGTAGGAAGCTGCAGGCCCACAAGGGAAGTGGGGTGGTGAGGAAAGAACATTTAAGACAGAGGAGTAAATTTTGGAATGCTTGAAAGAGTCGATCCAATTTGGGAACTGAGAGTAGTTTGGTGTTTCGACCACAAGGCGTCTGTGACAAGTGGTGGGAAATGACCTGGAACTGATGGGCCACTGCAGCAGAGATACAAGCTTCCTCCTCTAGGTCTGCATTCAGTCAAGTGCTTAAGACTTGTAATATCAACCCATAATGCTTTTTATGTGAAAACTAATGGATTTTTTTTTTTGTCAGAAAGAATTTTTGTGA